CAGACCAAACATTTTTATTTAATAAATCATTTTTTTTCAGCAGTGCAAGTACAAAGTTTATCATCTTATAGTTTTGGTTCTAAATAAGTTTTTCAATGCATCAACAGTTGATTTCCAAAATGTAAGAGCTAGACTAACATCTCTGTTCACATAACAAAAATAATTTAGATATTATATTAACAACATCGATTGATCGAGACATAATCTTTTTTTTTAAAGTATCTCTAGTTTTTGATTCGATTGATACTCAAACAATTAGATGCATTCTGACAAATATATATAGTCGATTTGAATACAGTCTAGATTATTTCACGAGTCTACTGAGGGTATCCAAGTCCTATAATGATTCGTTTTCTAGCTGTTTCTTTCTTCTTGAATTATTATCATTTTGCTAGGGTTTTTTGCGCTTGTACATGTTACGTCATCAAAACACTCAATATCGGAGTTTTGGATCTAAAACTTTACTGATTAAGAGGTCATCTGATCTTCCGCATAAATCTAAAGTTTTAGCTGGAATGTGTTCTTTCTGAGATTACAAATTTACAAGAAAAGTAATTTTTTCTTAGTCTCTGATAAAATGTACGCATCTCTTGAAGCCCTAATATCCTACTAAGAAAATATCCATGCTAATTAGTTGAAACTATCAGTATATGATCAAGATCATAAGACCTCTTCATGAGTAAAATTTTAGATCGAAATTATGACATAGACAATATTTAATTTGTCTTCTTTATGTTTTGATTTTAGGTAAACTAAACTCAATTTATCAATCACTTTTAAAAGTTACTTTAAACGATAATGTAGGCATAATATTTTTTTTTTTCATTTGATTTACTTTTCTACTTTGATGAGAATCATACAATAGTTACAGATAAATTTGATATAAATATAGAGTATGCAGATCGTTCCATTTTTTAAATCTTAATTAGCAAGTATTGATTTGTGCACCAGAATTTGCTCTTTACAAGTCTAGCAAGATATGTTGTTGATAGATAATTTTTGTTATCGAACATCATACTAATTTGCCTTTTAAAAATTTTTATTTTTTAAACTCATTGTTTTTAGTATCGGTTTTATTTCTTAGCATATTATATAATAGTTTTATTAAAGTTAACAACTAAGAATGATCCGATTGATTGCATTCATCGCTTATGCGATGCGCATCGACATTACAATGAAGAAGGGTGTGGATGTGAGTGTGAGTGCGAAATGTGCCAGAAGACAAAACATCTACCTTCACCTTGTCGTATGAAAGACTTCTATGGCGAAAAACTTCTTGAGAATTCAAAAAAAAATCTACTTTTCAACGATGTAAGTAAGGGTATGGATGTTCTTCTTACTTCATGCAAACACAAACACGAATATCTACATCCATCATATGAGTAATATGAAAAGACTCTGATAGAATTCCATTTCTAATATTGTGAGGTAAATATATGCACTAACTGTATTTGTTTTTGCTTCTAGAATATCTGAAAAAACGAACCACTCTCTATTCAGCAATTATAAACAGAATAAAAAAAAGATCGTTATTTGGGTATTAGTGGAAGTGTTGGGAACTTCACTTCTTCCACACCTGATGCTGAAAACCACCTGCACTCTACATCCACATGGAACTTCTAACTAAACGGAGTCTTTTGAATAAGTCTATGCATATGTTTGTGACTTTTTTATGCTGATTCGAAGAGTATACTTTATTTTCTTTTATATTTGATCAAAAAAATAGATACGTATGTCTACAAGCTATAGTAATAATATTGGTGAGTAAAACTTAGTATGTTGATAAAAAAATCGGTCAATTTATAAATCAATGTGAATGTGGATCTTCTTTTTACCCACACCCCATACGCAGTCTTGACGGTTGTGGGACAAATGATGATGTCGAGATTATTGGTCATCATGATTAAGCTTCATCATTAGTATTTAGTTGCCTATCACTAGATAGAAAGTAATAAAATAATCATTGATGCATTTAAAATAGAGTCTCTTCAAGAATAAGGATGATAAAGATGAGATAATTGAACAATCATCGTCCTGTGACGATAGTATTGGTATTTGTTTGGAATGGAACAACGATTTCTTTAACGGATAAAGTACAATGACGATGGTTGGTTTTTATTGTATTCGTCGGCTGCACTCGTGTCCTTTCGTGTTCTTTTTTGTTTTTACTGTTAACCTATAAGTACTGTCACACCGACTGATGTTGAAGATATCGAACTTCCTTGATAATATTTGCAAAAAACAAAGGTAAACATAAATGAAAATTGTCATACTGACTTTATAAAATGAAAATACTTTGTATATAGACCTGTATTTACAGTAGTATTTACTTCTTCGAAACGTTCGGCCGAGGATGATGCCATGACCAATCTTTTGTAATCCTCATTATACAATATCCAAGGTATTGTTACTGTGTTCAAACATTCAACACTAAATTGTTCTACACTGTACATCGTCAGCGACTACGGCAAAAGTTTGATATATAGCATATTATTGTTTTTATCCGATATGATTTCATGGCTTAAATCGAAAAGTAGCCCTATTGACATTAATTCTTCAAGTAATGGTTTCACAGTAGCATAGTTATGTTTCAATTTGGAGATTGAATTAATTAGCTAAAAGAAAAACAATCTAATCAATCGAGAGTTCCATTTCATGGTCATAGAAAACAAACATATAGGATGACCAAAACATCTGCGAAATAAATCAGATTGTGCATTACTCAAGAATGTTGCTCATAATTTGAACGAATACATAATCCGTTAAGCACTGTCAGTCATGCATGATGAGCAATTCCAATAGAGAAGGTATATGGGTGTGACTGAATATGAATGTGCTAGTTTAGATCTTTTCTTTAATCGTATCCATCATAACATTTACTAAACTAAGACCATCAATGATAAATCCCAACATAATGTTCAAATTAGCTGCTGACTTGAATATGTCGTATGAGTAGGCCGTGTAAATGCTAAATCAAAATTTGAATGTAGCTTAAATATACATTTTGATTTATTATTAAAATAATGAAAAACATAAATTAACTGTTAGTCTAGAACGAAAATACGTGATTTTATTGTAGAGTACTCCAGACAGAAGCGAAACGCCTAATAATACGTTTAAACGATAACATAGGACTATTTCACTAAAAAAACGATAACAAACGGCAAAAAAAGGAAAATCATTACCTTTCTTTTCGTTTTAACGCTTTACTCACGTTTTAAAGCATTTATTATACTATATGATTGTTCAAATGTTTTTATAACATATTATCTACTATTTAAAGAGTCATTATAAATACCTAAAATCATGATTTCTCCAGCAAAAACTGCTGTAAACACAAAGTAGTATAATTTCTTTCTTTTTATATAACTGCAATTGTCTTCCTGGATTAATATCATGCGTTGGTCATTTATGATCTAGTAATGAACTTTAGTCAGTTTAGAGAAAAGAAGAGCGAGAAGAAAACGAAGAAAAGAAAAATAGCCAGAGAGGAAAGGAAGAAAACGAAAAACTATTCTGAAAATGAAGTAATTACGAAATTCTAACAAGTTAAAACGTGTTACCAAATCTTGGAACGGTTAAAATGCATAATTTTTGCGAAACTCACGAGTTTTTCTGTGGGTTTCGCCGTTGGCTTTACGAGTTAAATCGTGTTTGTATGCCCGTATAGGTTTTAATGCAATAATGTCTTATAAGCAACTTGAATTGATATTTTTTCTCTTGATACTGGTTCACTGCGTTCAGTATACGCTCATTATAACTCGCTTATTAAACAGAATTCAACTCTTATATAATCAGTTGGTGTTTTTTTTATTATTGTCTTCACAATATTCGATTCAATTTATTTTAGTTATCAGTTTGTTTGGTATAGTTAGTTAAGGACTGCTAGTGCCTTTGTGTCCTATATAATAGTTTAAGTATATACAAAATTTATTAAGTAAATAATGCAACTTATTAATCACAGTTTCTTGGGTTTTCTTCAAACATAATTCACAAGCGATACAGATAATAATAATAATTATTATTATTTGTTTTTGTTGTTTGCACTTTTCTTTTTACATATTTTCCTATGTTCATTTCCTTAACTGATGATTCATGAAACAATGTACATATTTCCTTTTCGTTTATGTTTCTTATGAATTAATGAATTTATTATACCACAATGAAGTTAAGTAGGAAGGAGGAGTACCCCGCTTAATTTGCTTTTTGGTTGATAAAAATTGTTGAATGTTTTCGAAATGAGTTGAAGACTTATTGTCTGTGATTGACTGCTTGTGCCTTTATTCCAGTTCCATAGATTTCTATTGTCAATATATTATTGTCAGTAAAAGCATAAATTCAATTCAACAGAAGGCAATAAAATTATATTCACTATTCTATCATAGTTCATGGTCTTTGTTGATCTGAAGCTACATCAGACATCCATTACTTACTTAGTTTAGCTTCATAGATTTTGTAAACCAAATAGACGATGAAAATATCCGTCGTCCAGAATCGTGTTGAAAATGATAAATGTACCTGAACATAGTTTTCAAGTGTAGAAAACGATGTGAATCAAGTGGCAAGCGGAAACTGAAACTAATTTTGGGTCTCGCCGCCAGAAATTTCACACATCCAGTCACTTCACGTCACATCTTCTTAACATAAGTATTCAGCATGTAATCGAAAGAATTATTTGAGAAAAATACTCGTTAGTGACTAATCCAAAACCATTCTATGGCTGATGGCATCAAAACTTGAACACAATAGTTTGCGGATGCATACGGAACAATGTGGTCACTCCGCTATAATAGAGACAATAATTTGTTTGTAGTTAAAAGTCAACGAACTCGTTCAAGTTAATTTTTAATCTATTTATGAAACTTGCATGAGTATGGATAGATTTTGAGCTTTTCAAAAATGAACAGTAAAATATAGTTCAATTAATATATGATATATCCCTTTATCCGTCAATGATATATCCGTGTATATGGCATTAGAAGAAAACATGCACAAGTCATTTATGAAGCTGTTGGTGGTGAAATATATTTGCCACTGAATAAAACAATGTTTTGTTGACTTTCACGAATGAAAAATAAAAATGGTCGATCAACTTTGAATTCAATTGGCTGTTCTTTCTCAAGCATTGCTGCACTGCCACACAACATAAAAGTCGCAGTAGCTGCTGCTGCTTCCGATCCTTGTAAAGAAAAAGAAGAATAGAAAATAAAATATTTTAATAGAGTTGTATAGTAAATTATGTCGTATTTTATTCTTTTTCTTTGATAGAAAAACAAAAACAATTAAGTAATTAGCTTCCCACTCAATTGAACGACTCAAATCATACAAAATTTTCTAGCTAACCTCAAGCAGTATCAAGCAGGTTCTCATCGAATTTTCAGCTCGATATCATCATGTTTACATGAGATGTTCCCTTAAAAAAAGTCAACTTCAATAGATGAAAATTTTTTGTGAATCCTTTGCGGCAACTGACTTGTCATTATTAGCTCCAATAAAACGGAACGCATTTTTAATCCGAAATAATAATTACTGAATGAACGACTACAGAGAATTTCTGGTTGCCCAATTAACTATGTTTGACATTTGTTTCATAAACGTCTCACGAGAACATCATGATGTCTAGCTGAAAAGTTCATCAGTCTCTTAATAAAAAGCCTATAAAAATTCTGAAAATCTCATGCAAGTTGAATGCTCGCGGGTGTAGATCGATTTTGCTTTAAATGCAATGACTTATTAATGCAACGTTCTCATACCATAATCACTATAGTTGTTTCCGACTCTTTACAACTTAAATTAAGTAAAAATATACAAACTTACCTAGTTCATTGACATCGATAAATGCTTTATGAATAACCTACAATTTTATATGCAAAAAATACATTTTCTTCTTAACAATTCTTCTACCTTGCTAATATATAAGCCATTTCTATCATCTTGTTCACTGACAATACCAGTAAAATCAGCTTTTCTTTCACTAAATGCATTTTTCATTCCAAGATGTATAAGAACATCATTTAATACGAATGTAGCTTCCATTTTGAATTTTGGTAAATATAAAAGAAGTTCTTGTCTTGTTGTATTTTCATCACTTAGTACTTGTTGCATTAAGTTTGGTTTCGACGTTAATTTTCTTTCAACTTCATCCAATGAAACACCTTGTTTTGGTAAGATTACAGTAAAAACAAATTGAACATCGTGGCTATCACTTTTATATGGTAAATGAGCAATTTGAACATGTAAATCTTTATTCTCAGCATAATAAAATTTTTCTTTTTGATGCATTAGTTTTATTTTTGATATTTTACCATTAGCTCCATGAAAATCAGCATTTTGATCTGTTAAATGTTCTTGGAATTGTTCTACCCACGTACCCTAGTATTCAATTAATAAAACAAACAAGGAAACTTCATTATTTGTATGAAAACTAATACTCACCTTAAAATAAATACAATTAACAATAATCAATCGTGTATCACGCGAAATATCATTTGTCGAAAGTAAATTTTGAATTAAATTATTTGTTTTTTTTTCAACCCATGCATTTATTTTGTGAACAACTTTATCTTTATCATTTTGAAAATCTTTGAGTTTGATATCAGCCTTGAAAGAACTTTGAACAAGACTCAAATATTCTTGTTGAAGTTTATATGCTTTTTGTGCATAAAGACGATTAGCTAGTTTAAGTTCAACTTGTGTATCATGCTTAGCAACAGAAAAAATATGCATAACTTTTTCAGCTGTTTTTGTTAAATTTTCTATTGATGATGCATCAAGAACATGTAACATTTGATCTAATGTTTCTTTTCGAGCACCAACTGTACACATAGCCATAGCAAGAGCAATACTTGCTGGTGAAAGAAATACATTTTGATTATTGTTATTTTGACTAACAGTGGAATAAACTTTGTGTCCAAAATGTTGGAAGTTTGTATTTGTTGATAATAATGTTGAAGCCATATTTTTCGTTATGTATGAGAGAAAACAATAAAGGAAACGATGTTACTTTGATGTGTTTATACTCTCGTTTTTATACGAATAATTTTCTTTATTGTATCTGTTTGACTGAAAGAATAGAGGACTGCACATGAAGGTTTATGTCTCTTGTGTGAATAACCTAGTGAGTCAACAGTAAACAACAAGAGAGAAAAACCTTCATAACATCAAGAAAGCTATTCATTTTAAGGTAATAAATAAGGTAAAGGGAAAAAACATAGGTTGTTTGTTCGGTAGATATTTTTATTTATTGATCAAATTATTTGATAGTACATTTCTGCTTATGACTAAATGATTCACATTTTTATGAAGAAATAAATTGCTTCTATATGGTGAAATACCTTTTATCATTACCGTGTTGTATACTGATTAATTCTTGGATAGATCAATACGCTAATATTAGATATCTCACGCAAACTACTCGCTAAGACTAGAACAGCATTCCACATTCCATCACAAATATTATATATTTTATCAAAGAATAATTTTGTTTTTTTCTAATAAATCTGAAACCCTATTATGTTACTAACAAAAATTCATTAAAAGATTCAATTTAGATTTATGTATAGTGAAACGTGTAACAACACGAAATATTTTCGTGCTTTTCTTGTATAAAGATTAAAAATTCTTCATTTTGAAGAGCATTAAATTTTCTACAATTCATATTCTGTTTAATCATGTGTATTTTTCCCTATGTATTTTCCTAATGTCGTCTGTTGGTCATAAACTCAACGAATAGACGAATGAAGAAAGATAAGAATCTTGGACAAGTCATGTTTTTCTCTTCGTCATCTATTCTCATCTTTTAAATCATATAAACTACGAGCATTTCAATACTTCCTTTCACATGGTATGGCTACGTATTTACGAAAATATGTAACTCCACTAGCATCAACAAAAGATTATGTAACTCAATAGTTATCTGATCATGTTCTTGCTGTTGTAGAAATTTTTGTATCATTTCCAAAATTAACTATATTTTATTTCAAGAAACAAATTTGGTCAATACATATTAAAGCTTGGATATATTTAACATTACAAACAAAATCATTAACGAGTTATCTTTCATCATTCCTAAGTTTTTTTTACTGGTAGTAAAAATGTTGAGACAAACAATGAATAGAGTTTGAATGTAAGATAACCGTATATTTATGCTTACATCGCGTCCAAGATTCTCATAAGTCCAAACTCAGATATTTTCCTTGAAGTACTCGGCCAGCTATGCTTCATTAAAGTCTCATTTTAACCGTTTGTATTCGAGATGAAATTTTCTCGGTCATTATTTATTATTAGTATCGCATAAATGAGGGTAGGTCAACATACCAATTAGAAGATTGCGATGTTTCTCTTCTGGCGAAGTTGCCTTTGTCAGAGCTGTCCAATAGTACGAACGTAAAGCCCTGCTGACCACATTGATTTATTAATTTATTTCCTGGTTCTGTTTTTTTCATCATTTGAAACTTCTTTTTATGTATATGAAAAAAACCAAGAATAAGATATTTAATGAGCTCACTTCTTACATGAACATAGAAATGTCCCTAACATTTTCGTAATCATGCATCAATTTCATAATCATTTTTGACTTCTTTTGTGTCTTTGTGAGTTATTTCTTCATATATGATGGAATCGAAGAAAGTAGCTGTCTATTATACATTATAGAGACATAGATATGGATACAATTATGCTGAAAAAATTAAATTTTGAAGCTTGAGATCAACAGTTCTATCTTTGGAAAAACATATGATGTTTTTAATAGTAATGTTTTATCAACGTGGAAATAGCCAATTACAAACAATAGAAAAGAACTCTTAAGAAATACAATATCTGCATAAAATAAAGGTTTTTAAAGTTTGTTATAAATTTCATTTTAGATTTAAGAAACAGATGTTCCAATTTATTTTCTTGTTGAACTATATTCAGTCAATGAATTTGATACTAAAAAAGTCAAAAGAGCATTCTTTAATTAGTTCCGAAAAAACTATTATCGTGTCATCTTTAAGCATAAAATTTCATAGAAATATTTTCATATTAAGATCAAATTCTTTTGTGGGTATTCCATTGTCAAGATCAACAAATTTAAATAAAACTTTATCATTGATAGTTTCATCAACATTAATAAATTCGTGATAAAAACATTGTCTATTGGACTTGTTAGGTATAATAGAGACAGTATTTTTCTTCATTTTGACAGAAAATTCCAGTAAAACCTTATATTTTGACTTAACAGTATATTTTTCAAAATGAACCTCAGTATTAGATCGTGGAATATTGAACAGGAAAGAAAAGCAAATTGATTCTGATCACGAAAGCTTGGAATGAGAATTGTTTCAACGGTTTTTTACTTAATACAACGTTTCAACCACTAAAAACTCGAGTATTTACAGTGACTTCAAGACATCGAAAATAGAGTCGAAGAAATCAACAAGACGAAACCATTTATTGAGAAGTAGTTCTGTTTCAGGCATAGCAGTAACGGTATCGACGATTTAACGATAATGTGTTGCACATGTTCTGTTCTTGCGTTTTTGTATAGAATCAAACTAGAGATCCTTTATTACTAAGTTAAAGTCTCTGTAATGAAAACTCGTCGTAATATTAACGAAATACTAATGATATCATTGTTTTATGTTCCACCCGTTATTTATGAGAAAATACAATAAAAACATAAGATCAATATTTTTTCTTTTTAGTGCTCCACTTTTACTGTTATTTTTTATCTTAATAAAATCCGATGATATATTCATTGAAATTAGAAATTATTTGAAAACAGATTTTTTTTTGATACGTACTAATTTTGGAACAAGAAATGATTGCTACCTGCAATGTATCATCAATCGCAATTCATTGTTTTTTTAATAATCGAGAATTAGTTTTTCTCATTACTCAACTTGATACTCAATCATTTCTATTTCATGATTAGCAAACTCAATCTGATTTGTTTTCCACTGATTGGCAGCAAAAAAAGATTTATAGAAAGTTGAAAACACAAATTATCACAACATGTTTTCAAAGACAATTAAGAATATAATTTGAGAAACTCTCACCAATATCTTTTATCTTTATCTTGTAAACAACTTTTTAATCATGTTTTAGCAGTACATAATAATTATACTATTATTTCAATTAGATTAACTCTTCGTTGCAAAAAACTTCAAATACTGATAAGACCACAGATATAGCCAAAACGATTTTTTTTTTCTTTCAAAATAACTCTTAAGTTTCTATATTCTTTGAAACTTGCTCTTATTCTCTAATTCATTATAAAAAACTGAATAGAAAAAAGTCGCTATCAATATATATAGGTTTAGAGTATAGGTTAAAAAGCACTTCTGTAAAACTATCTGATTCTTTGTTACAGAAAATAAGACAGTTGATCTTGTCTCATTGAGATCAGCTTGTTTCGAGCTACAAAAGTATCAATTTTGTTTTTTTGTTGAGGAAATCGAACATTTTCTTGTTTTAGTTGCAAAAGAACTAAAAAATGACTTTGTTTATTACAGTCTCTGTTATCAAAACTGATTTGAAAGGTAAAACAAAAAACAAATTCAGTATCAAAGTAAAAGTCTTCAATGAACTACACGTATTGAAGCATAATCATGTTTTTATGAAAACGCACTTGTACTCCATCTCCGTAGTTTTCTTCTAAAACTTAGCCTGTGATTGATTTTTCATTTAATACAAAATTGGCTGAAATTTAAATAGGCTGGTGTAGTTTTTCACATTGAATGTAAATATATTGTTTGTTTTGTTTTTCAACTGAGTTTTCATAATAGAAACTGCAATGAACAAGGGCATTTTTGATCTTTCTACTACTAAAGCAAAGAAATGTACGGTTTTCTCAACAAAAAAATATTTTAGATTGAAGACGAAAAAAAGAGCTAACTTCAAAGAATATAGAAACTTGAGAGCTGTTTTGAGAAAAAAAAAGTAATTTTGATTCTACCTATGATATATTCTCAGTATTTGAAGGTTTTTTTGTAACGAAGAGTTAATCTAATTGAAATAAAAAGTATATATTCGTAAATATAGTAGATATCAATAGATTGATTCACTTCATTACTCAAATTTTAGTTTTAAAAATTTATCTATAAAATAAATATTCGAAGCATTATCAAAACTAACGGAAACAAATGTATTAATATGAAAATAATGACAAACGAAAATATAGTTTGTTTGAAATTTTACTATCAATACTATTTTTGAGAATCTCATATGTATTCTAACAAGATTTTTATAGCGTTTTCTATTTCTTTTTTCTAGTACGTCAATTAATCTGATGAAAACAACTTCAAAGGACAAAAATATAAAGATAAAAGTGCATTATTAAGAATATCAAGGTTATTCGTCCTCGGTGAGTGCGGTATTTTTATTTGTGAGCCGCAGAATGAAATTGGACTTTTCTTGACACAAAAATAAATATTTACATAAGTGAATAAATTTCTAATCTACAGATGACATTGGATATTCAGTGTTTTTTCATTAATGTTTATGCATCTATTTTATTTCGTTCTTTCTTTTATATTTTTCTTTGACTACTAATTTTACCATACCGATTGAGAAAAACAGAATTTTTCAATGAAAAATTATTATTTTCTTAGTATGACATTCGAAAATGAATGACATAGTAGAAATAACAAAAAAGACTCAGTCATTCATTTGAATATATTTTACTGGTATATTATAATAATTATTCCTTTTTCTTTTGTTCAGAAGAAAAAAGTAAAAATTATATAAAACTAAATCTTATTGTTATTTTCATGAATAGAATCATTGTATATTAAATACAATGCTGAATTATTGATACTTTTCATATTTACTTTAAAATATATTTATAAGATAATACAAAGGTTCAAAAGAAAACCTATTCTTAATATAATGAAAAAGAAATCAACAATACCTTGTTCTGTTATTTTCGATTCTCATGTATTGATAAAAAAGAATGTGTAGTTAAATTAAAAATATAG